GGAACAATTTCTGAGATATATTATTAAATGAGAACACAAGCAGAATAGTGCCTATAACATTTGATTTTTTTTTTAAGTCTAGTTGATTTACAATGTTCTGTTAGTTTCAGGTGTACAGCAAAGAGATTCAGTTGTACATATATTTTTTCAGGTTCCTTTCCATTGTAGGTTAGTACAAGATACTGAATATAGTTCCCTGTGCTATACAGTAAGACCTTGTTGTTTATCTATTTTATATATCATAGCATGTATATGTTAATTCTAAACTCCTAATTTATCCCTCCCTCCTTTCCTTTCGTAAACCATAAGTTTGTTTTCTATGTTTGTAACTGTACTTCTGTTTCGTATAGTATGCTTGATTTTTTTAAAAGGGGAAAGGTCTATAACAGTACATATATAGTAAAAATATTTAAATGCAAATACGAATATGATTTTATAGACACACATGCACACACATACATATAATTATTGGCATGATCAGAACTGAAACACAAGAGACCAGTACTGTCCTTTGCCTCAGGAGAGCAGACCTGGGTGTTAAGGACACAAGAACGAGAGGATATTTTCAATATATCTTGTTTTGTGCATCTTCAATTTTGCAACCTTATAAATATACCTTATCTGAAGAATAAAATGTAAACTAAAGATTGCACCTGAAAAGAGAATCCATAACTTGGGGCTTTATTATTTCTGAGCCCTCTGAAGCTGGAATTGGCCTCCTCCACCCACAGGTCTCATACTTCTGTTGAGTGGATACCAGCTAAGCTAGAGTGAAGCTGGGAACACATTCCATCTGAGTCTAGTGGGATATATTTATGTCTTGTTTTGTGGTCTCCTCCACGTACAGTTAAGTCATGGCTGGTGTTAACAGGATAGAATGGCCTCCAGGAAGGCCTCTATCAGCCCCCGGGGCCAGGGGTCATACTGGCATCAGAACATGTCTTTTGGCGCCTGACACTACAAATACTTGGGTGGTTGAGGAGAAACAAGGCTTGAAATGGGGATTTTCTGGGGAAAATCCTTCCAAACCCCAGACGTAAAAATGTGAGCAGAGAACTCAGTTTCTCCTAGATGTCTACTCAAAACAGTTCTCTCTGGTCAAGAACACACTCAGTAATAGATTACATGAAATTACATGAAACAGAATTTATTAGAATGCCTTGTCCCTAAAACACAAGCGGATAGCAGTAACAAAAATACCTTATACTTCAGTATGTGAAGTCACAAGCTTTGTACACCTCATCTATCAATTTTAAATGATTTGATCTTATATATCAGTTATATCTCAATAAAACTGGAAAAAAGGTTTTAATCAACCATGCTAAAGGAAATTCTGAATTATCTTTTCACTTTCTGTATAGAAAGATAATGCGATTTGGTTTAACAGGACAAAATAATTGTTATAATGTAGGGGAAAGTATAGAGGTGTGTCAGGTACTTAGTACATTAAAATGTTAGGCTATTTTTCTGGATTTTGTAATTTGTGTGATATTTGTTGAGTTTCCAACTTATAATTTGTTGTGATTTCTTTTTTCACTTTGTTTCCTTACCTGATTTGTTTTAAGTTAAGTCCTGTCCTTTTTCTAAAAGAGGTCTGCACAAATTATACCAGCTTCAGGCCCCAGACTCACAGCTGGTGTTCACGATCAATTTAAAATCTGAATTTGCCGCTCTCTCATGGGGAGATTAGAACTAGCAGCACAGGGTGACTCTTCGTTTTTATACTAAAGACTAACACCAGATCAGCCAAATAACTTGAACCAGTGAAGACAATGAAAACAAAGCCCAGGTCTCTAAACTGCCCATTAACTCTTCCACACCTTGAGTCTCCTCGGGACCCAGAGAAGCAAGTCTCCCCCAAATCTGCTTCCAGCCCAGCCTGCTAGACCTCAGGTGCTGCCACTCTCCCAACATGCTCACAGCCTCAGGCCCTTCTCATCTCGTGTCTCAGAAACAGAGAATTAATTATAAGATTTAATCTTCTCAGAGCTAGAACCTCTGTGGAGACACTGCAGGCTCCCTGTAGGACCTGACAGTAACCAGCTTGTGAGAGGCGGCCCCAAGCCCCAGGCTGCTGTGCTGCTTCGGATTTTATTACATGGGAGGCTTTTTCCGCCTGCTGGCTATTTCACAAAATCCAAGCTTTCTTAGCAAGACTTTTCACCGGTTTGTTCTGTTCAGCTATTCAAAGTTTACTCATAACTCTAACCTGAAATCTATGAGAAACCTTCAATAGAGGTTTTCTTGGTTGTTGGGGTTTTTTCCGATGCATTTTGGGCAGGAAAAATTCCCCCTATACCTGGCAATTATGAGATTGTGCTTTCAGCTCTTCCTTCCAAAGACAGAAGCTGCTGCAGAGGCTGCAACTAGCTGTCAGGAGGATGACTGGGCCCAGTAGGAGGGCAGGGGCCAGGCCCCTCCTCCCAAGGCAGGATCTTTGCTCACTAGCGCCCCCTTTTGGCAGGCCAAGAGTTTCTCAAAGCTGCACCAAAACCTCAAGCTCTTTCTACCAGTATCTCAGTCCGAAGGCTCTCCCCTCTCCTGTTCTCTGCCCTTTATTTCTTAGTTACTTCCCCCAGTGAATCTCCTGCACATCTAATCTCATCTTAGCCTCTGCTTCACAAGGACTTAGATGGATGCACTACCCTAGAACATTTGCATCATGTTAGTAAAAAAGAAAAAAAAATTCCAATTTTGTTTTTGCAAGTAAAGAAGGAAAATAAGATTCACAGGACGTCTAAGTGTCAGGTATTGCTAGGTATTTTAAAATACACTGTCTCACTCAACTCACAAAGGTAAGTGCTATTATTCCCAGATTCAAAAAAAAATCTAAATGGAATTCTGGTTGGTAAAGCGGCTGCAGATACCCTCAGTATTTACAGAGCTGCCAGCCCTCAGCCCTGCTTGGCTTTCTAGAGAAATTCTAGATTTGGAGTGGAGATGCAGTTTTCATGAACCTAGGGTAAGGAGTAACAAATGCATTATATTGTAGGTTAAATGGAACAAAGATTATTACCTGCAGTAATTTCATATCTTTCCTTCGCCCCAGCCCATCTCAGACAAGAAATCTGCCAGTGGGTCTTTCCCTCATTGATATGGCCCCCATTCTTGTTCTAAGAATTCTCTGCTAAAGTCCAGACTGAGTCTGAATCCATACTGGGGAGTTTCAGCCTTCAAATCTGACAGCAAAAGAAATATCAAATGGTGACTACAGAATATCACAGCATTGTTAAAACAAAAAACAAAACAAAAAAAACCTTTTATGTTCAAACTCCTTATCCTTTTAGAGATAACTGGGAGTTTGAGATTTGCAGGTACAAATTACTATATATAAAATAGATAAACAAGTTTCTTCTGTGTAGCACAGGGAACTATATTCGGTACCTTGCATTAACGTATAATGAACAAGGATATGAAGAGGAATATATGTATGTATATGTTTGACTGAAACATTATGCTGTGCACCAGAAACTGACACAACATTGTAAACTGACTATACTACAATAAAAAAGGAAACAAAATAAATTTTAAAAAACTCCTTAGTCTTTTAAATTTAAAAAGAATATACCATCAAAGCGGTAAAAAAAAAATAGCTTACAAGTTTGGATAGTGATATTAATAGCACCAACTGCTGGAATCTTGACACCTCTCTCGTTTAAACCAATGGAAGGTTGTGTCCTGCCTGCCCAATGGCAGTGGTGGCAGGGTGGATGGTGGGGCCCCTTGGCCACACTCAGTCAACCACTAACCCAGGTTGACAGTGGCTCTACCATCTTCAATGTGTGGCATTTCCAAGGTTGCCTTGGGTGTCAACATCCAGGTAAAATAGAAGAAGGGAGGGGAACACCTGCTTCTGCATCATTTCTGCTAACATTATAGCCATTGATGAGATCCAGTCACATGGCCCCTCCTGGATGCAAGGGAGGCTAGGAAATGTGTCCTTGGCTGGACAAAAACATGACACTATGAAAGAAAAATGTGAGTGTTTAGGGGAAAGCTGGCTCTCTCTTCCCAGCTGGCATTGCTCCCCAGGGTGACTACCATCGAGTTTTGACCTGGACACTCCCAATTTTAACACTGAAAGTCCCATAGCCTGGGAAACCCCTTAGTCCCAGGCAACCTGGGGCTGCTGTCACCCCACTAACAGAACATGAATTAACAATTTAAAATAATTTAGAAAATGGACAAAATTGCTTTTACATGCATTCAAGGGTGTTGTAGATGACCCAAAAAAAACCTTAGTAGGTGATTAGAAACCGTTTTTAACTAATTATTTTCAGACAGAGAACTCACTAAGGGTTAAATGTAAAATTTTAAGAATTCATGAAAACGTTGACTAGCAAGTAAAAGTCACAAATGCCTGAAAGTCAATTGGAAATAAAATATAAAAGCAAAAAAAAATCCAAAAGTATTAAAACCACTCAGTATGCTAGAAAATGAGCAGAAATGTTTACTAGCATAAAATACTGCTGACCTACTTCTCTGGCAAAATGAAATTGTCAACATCTTAAAAAATAGGGGTGATATTCATTTTTACCAAATCACCATTTTGGCCAATGTTATTTTAAATGACGAGTTTTGACCTGTGTTTCCATCCATTTGACTTATATCACATCGCGATTCCCTGCAGAGAAGCCCTCTCAAACCGACCCAATGACAGGTGATCCCTGCCTTATCTCGTCCCCGGTCCTTTTTTCGTAACGTCTCTATGCAGCTTTACGTCACTAGGTTTCCCTCTCCTTGCTTGTATCACCACTTCTCCTAAGTACAGAGGCCAGGTGTTCCCTTTTGGTGTGGTGTGCTCTCTCCGCCACCCCTCCATAACCTCTTGGTCCAAGGGGCAACTCAAATCAGTGGAAGAATTTAAAGCCTGAGAAGATTCAGTTCCCTGTTCTCTCCAGAAAGAAATGATGCTTCGTTTATTACCACCCGCCCCCCTGCCCCAATTCTGATGCACACATCAGAATTATTACCCTCTCTCCCACATGCTCACATCATACCTCATTCAGCAGTGTCTGGGAGCGCCTTTCGTGGGCTGCTGGGAACGCGCGACTTCTCCTTTGCCACCCTGTGACTTCCTTAAGGGACTCCTTGGGAATTTCACACTGCACCTTACTTCTGTTAGGAGCTGAAAAAATGCAAAGCATTAAAGTTTGATTCAAAAACATTAGATGCAGAAGAGACCCACAGACTTAGTCTTCTGATAAAGTGAAAATCTCTAGGGAGACTGGGACACTATAGTATTTGCATTTAAATAGTTCTGAATAGCAATTTCTGCAAGGAATTTGAGCTCTAGTGGGCTCTGTGGACAAATCAATACATGCTGGCTTCCAGCTGTAGCTTTTGAGAACCATCCACTTTTCATCCTTATTAGTGCCTTTGCATTTTCAATGCACTGACTCCAGCGAAATGTCCTGGGCGTTGGGGTTAGTTTGTTGGGGTCACTGCTGATTTAAAGAAAGGGAGTGGGGCTGAACCAGCTTGTCACAGCTGTGAGTCACAGCTGTGAATCCCCAGGGTGCTGAAATAACAGTACCGCCTGCTAATCCAATCTGGGCTTTCCCTGGGGGCTGTCATTACTGCAAAATGAGGCGAACTTGGTGGATGAAAAGCTCCAGGACTGTGGAGTTAGCAGTGATGCAAAATCATATCTACGGCATAATGAGGGGTTGAGACCTAAGAAGGAGGTAACCACTGAGACCCAGTGGCCTTACTACTGTAGCCACCATATATACTGCTATACACATTACATAATACACATTTTATGTATGTATACAAAATACACACATTATTTATATGTATACTGTAGCCACTATGTACACTGCTACATGTATCTACTGTACATTGGGGGGCTTGTGTGCATGTGCACACACACTGCGGCCACCACCGCCACTGCTGCAGCTGCTCCCTGCTCTGCTGCCCATCTGTCCAGTGTCCAGCCCCCCAACTCCCACCGTGCTGGCCTCTTTCAGCACCTTGAGTGTCATGCTGTCGCCCACTGCACAGCCTTCGTGCCTGTCCTTCCCACATCTGAATCTCTCCCTTCTTCCGCAAACACCCCTCACCTACTAACTCAGACTAATCTTAAAGTCCCAGCTCAAATGTCACTTCCTTGAAGAAAGCCATCCTCGCAAATGAGGTCAAACTCCCCATCTTAAGGTACTCTTTTCCTGCACGCAGTTTTCACTGTTTATTTTGTAATTAGGCTATTGTATTGAAACAGTATCTGTCCTCCCTCCCCAGTAGACTATGAGTTCCAGGAAGACAGGGACCTCCTCTAATTTGCTTCCCTTCGCATCTCCAGAGCCTGGAGTACTACCCAGCAGTAGTAGAGGTTTGATTAATATCAGTTGCATGGATGGGTTTGGGTCTGATAATGAAACCGTCAAGACACAGTACAGGTGGAGGGGAGCGGACGCCCGGAGGGGCAGATTGCCTCCAGGTGTCATGGATGTGCCCTAAAGTGGAGGTTCTTAAACTGGAGCCTGCAGTGGAATCACCTGAAGGGCTTGTTAAAAAGCAGACTGCGGGGGCCATCCCTTGAGTCTCTGAGTCAGTGGGTCTGGACTGGGAGTCTGCATTTCCAACAGGTTTCCAGGTGATGCTGAAGCTGGTCCTGTGACCTCATTGTAAGAAACACTGTTCTAAGACATCAGGCAGTTTCCAAACGGCTGCAGAAGCAACCCAGCTACTCCCAGGCTTTTCGATGAGGCGCTTCTAGAGTCATCAACACACCAGGTTCTGGCAATCTCACTCCTATTTACGTCAGTGGTTCCCAACCATGAGAGGGCTGCAGAATCATCTGTGGAGTCGCCCGAGGCTCAAACCTCAGAGATTAAGTTTCCGTTGACTTGCCTGGGAACCCAACACTTAGAGTTAAAAAATCCTCCTCAGGTGATTTAAAGTACAACCAGGATTGAGAACCACTGGCTGAGATCATGGCTGGTAAATTCAACCAAAAATTATAATTGTTGCAGGTGTCTAAGCTGTAATCACTGAGGTTTTTCCAAGAACCATGCTGTGCTCCTTTACTGGACTAAAGTCTAGAACCACAGAGCATCATTATGGGTAAAGCAGAAGCCTATCTCTTACTCCAAATAGCCACGTTAAAGGAAAGTGCTCTTGGCAGTCAAAACTGGAGACCAGAAGGTAGATCATTTATTCTTTCAATTCTTTACGGGGGGGGGGGGGGATATGATTATGCCAGGTACAGTATTAGGTGCTCGGGACATAATGATGGATGGAACTTATGGTTTCAGGCCAAGTTCCTGGAAAATTTCAGGTGAGGGTCCAGAAGGCAGAGACTGGGGACTGTGAACAACGGAAGGACACAGAAGTGAGGGGAGAACAAGACCCAATTTGATCCAGAGACGCAGTCAGAACTGAGGGCACCTACCTGGTGTCCTCCAGGACTCGGGGTATCCACTGTGGTCCCAGAAAAGCCAAGATGCTGACTGCAGGAGCAGACGCACCCGAGAACCTGCATACGAACCTGGGAAAGGAAAAAAGCTTGATTGGGCGTGCCTGAGCGGACTGGGTTTGAAAGTCTGGGACACTGCGTGTCAAGGGTTGGAGGTGATGTTTTGCAAGTTACCACTGGATTGCATCTTGGAGGGGAACCAGCTAAAGCCCGGGATCCCGACCTGCTGCTGCTCCCCGTCAACTGGGAGATTCAGGCCATTAACAGAAATGCCTTCACATGTGCAAACCTCACACCAGCAAAATGGGAACGAAAATCTCACTGCTGTCTGAGCAAGTCCCGTACCTTCGAGATGCAGGGCCCTCCAGAAGTAGCTGGTCGGGAACTAAGGCCAACTTAGAGCCCCCTACTCCTCTGTAAGATTATTCCTTTGAGGTCCCAGAGCCGGCCGTTATCACGGGGGAGCTGAGTCGAACCTGGCCGAGTGGGAAACTGCCGGCCACCCAGCGCCCACGGGCTCAAAGGCTTTTAAAGCCAAGGAGCCTGACCTCCGGCCCCGTTTCTCCAGCGCGGCCTCACGGGAAAGCATCAGAGGCAGTGTTTTCACCGCTAGGGACGCCCAGGCCCCACCCCGACCACTTAACCCGCCCCTCGGAGGGTGGGGCCAGGCAGAGGCATTTTCTGAGCCCGCAGGCCTGGGAGGAGCGCTTGCTCTGCAGAAAAGGCCTTTCGGGGCCATGTTCACAGGCTGAGCCATTGCCTGGAGAGGGGCGCGCGGGAGGGCCGGCCCTCCCTCCAGAGAAAAAAATGTGCGTCCTGGGCGCTTAAAATCCGCTTACTCCCTCCCTCCCGTGGAGTAGAGAGACGGGAGCTTCGATTCCCCACCCCTGCCGTGGGACACTCAGAGCCCACTCCCCTCCTCTCTGGTGAACGCTTCCCCTTCTCTTTCTTACTCAGCAGACATTCGTGGAAGAAGTTTAGCACTGATGGAGCACTTACCTGGGTCAGGCAGTGCCCCGGGGCCGAGGAGACAGCAAGGGACACAGAGGTGCTGCCAGCAAACAGTCTAGAACCCAGAAACAGACACCAAGGCATAAGCGAATAAATGAACAAGGTTCCGGGCTGGTGCTACAGTAACTCAGGGTGTTGTGATTGTGATTGGAGTCATTTGGAGGGAATGGTTTCTGTGGATTGAGTGGTCAGAAAAAGTCCTCTTTTCTGAGAACGTGACATTTAAGCAGAAACCTGGATCATAAGAAGAAACTGGCCACCCTGGACCAGAGTCCCAGGCAGAGGGAACAGCAACAAGTGCAAAGGCACTGAGGTGGGAAAGGCAGGGTGACCAGCACAGCTGTCCAGTCCAGAGGCACGTCCAGCGTCCAGGATGTGTGGTACCAGAAAGTACCCCATGAGGTGTACCTGTGTGGACCCCATGAGGCCCTCACTGGACAGTTCCGGGGAGGAATTTGGGGTGTTGTTCCTGGCTCTGTAGCACAGCCTGGTTCACTGGCCCTCCCAGAGATGCTGTGAGCCACCAATCTCCTGTATATAAATTCTATTTCTGCTCAAAGCAGCCAGAATTGGCTTCTGTTCCTTGCCACTAAAAACCCTAATGTGGTTAAGCATATCTTGAAATCAGCAATAATCAAATCAGAAGTTCTTGTGCGTTAAATGCAAATGATACACTGACATAACTCAAGGTAGGGCTTTGGAGAACAGCAAAGTACGGTAACATGATTTATTAACAGAAAGACCAATGACTTCAGTTTGCCAGCGCGTTCTAGTCTATATCTGCTGACCCCCATATACTTATTAATAGCGCTCGCTTTCACGCTCCAAAGCTTCCTGATTTGGAGGATAAGAATCATCCTCTGTATTAATTCCTGGGGCATAACTGTGATGCTGGGTCCCCAAGTCAAAGCTTACTGACAGGCCTCTATATTACAGCTCCCTCCCCCAGCCATGATAGGAAATAGCTCCTTTTACAACACCAAATGTCATGGCAACTGCTGGGGTGCGGGGCGTACATCTTTGGTAACCATACCAATGATCTCATTGTTATGGGGGCTGAATTGTATCCCCCCAAATTCATGTGCTGAAGCCCTAGCCCCCAATACCTCAGAATGTCACTGTATTTAAAGACAGCGTCCTTAAAGAGGTAATGAAGTTCAGGTGGAAACTGATCTAACCTGACTGGTATCCTTATAAGAAGAGATCAGAAAAGAGACAGAGAGAGTGGAAAGAACATGCAAAGATACAGGGAGAAGACAGCTGTCTACAAGCCAAGGACAGAGGCCTCAGAGGAACCCAGCCCTGCCAACACCTCAATCTCAGACGTCTAGCCTCCAGCATGTGAGAAAAAATTTCTGCTGTTTAAGCCACCCCCATCTGCAGAACTTTGCTACGGCAGCGCTAGCAAACTAATACACTCATACACTCACGGAATGCAACACAGAACGACATTCTCTCAAAACCTTTACCTGACACAGAACTCTCTATTGCCCTGACCTACAATTATTGCCTCTCAGCAGGGACCCTCAGCGCTGCAATGTGGGCCAGCTAATCTGCCCAGGCAGATAATCCAGCCCAGTTAATCTTCAGTACCTGGCGGCCCACTTCTGTGTAATGACCAAATATGAAGAGTTGGGGGTTAACTGGGGCTCCTTTAATCCAGGCTGGCTGCCTGTCTCTGTGTATCCAGGGCACAGAAGGTTAAAAAATATTAAGCACCTTAACCGTGAACTTGACTCATGCCCACTGTTCCTGGTAAAGCAGGTTTCCAGGGTTACAGACTTGATGCCCGATCCTGTCCTCAAACATAATACTTGCTTTCATCCCTGTGTCCCGGAGCCAGCTCGTGGATCTGAAGGTTCTCAAAGAGAAAGGCTTGTCATGAGACCGGTCAGCTGTCTGATCAAGGCCTTTTAAGGGGATCAGTCAACAACTTTTTATCAGTTACTCCTGACACTGTGGGAGTTACAAAGAAATATTATACTTGGTTCCTGCCCTCAAAACAGTGACTGTGCAGTTGGCATTGATGTGGTTTAAGGGCTTCGAAAGTTAAACAAAAATAACAGAGCTGAGCAACTAAGCAAAGACCAGGACTGACTCCTGGTTCTGTCGCTGGTTAGCTGCATGACCCAAGCAATCCTCTACCTCCGAGTCTCGGGGGTCCCCTTTGCCAGGTGAGGGTAAGAATACCTTCCTCACAGGGTCCTTGTGAAAAGGCAACTGAACGGCATGTGGGGAAAGTGTCCAATAAGTACCCAGCACCTAGGAGGTGCTTCTTTTTAAAAAGAAGAAATCGACAAGTGGAGGCCATGCTTGCAACAGGTGTGAGTGCGGGGAGGCTCACAGGATACTCACACAGCAGGACCTCGTTCTTACATTTGCCTGGTATTTACCGAGCACCTACTACGTGCCAGAAACCACCTCTGTGCTGAGAAGACAAGACTGGGTCCTAAGATGCTGCCAGCTGGCTGGAAGCAGACAGGTGATCAAGCCGTAACCAGACAGGTGAGTGGCAGGGTTTTGGGGCGGGGCGTGCTCACCTGAGGGGGCGTGACTGAGCTTCTGTAACGCTGACTCAGCAGGCCCTTCACGGAAGCTGTCTATCAGGCCGGGTATCATTTACACACACATTCACACTCACCCACGCTCACAGTCACACAGGAGTTTACTGAAGTTCTCACTTCACTTTGCAATTTGGTGTTCTATAATGGCGCCAAGAGACCCACGTAGATTTATATCCATTTTCAGTTTCTGTGATGGGTTTTTGCTTTCGATTTCCTCGTCGACAGAAATTGAAAAGATGAACGTCTATGACGATTTGAAATACAAAATAGTTACAAACGTGTGATCTGTTTTCCCCGGAAACCCTAATGCTTATTCTAGGACGAGTTCCTGAGGCAGGCAGCCAGGTGACACGGTCTGTCGAGGCCTCAGCAGCCGACCTGCAGGATGAGGAAGGTGGTCTGGACAAGGCCGGATAATTGGGTTTTGTCTGCCACTGTCATTCTTTTGGGGGGGGTCCACTCCGGGCAGGGGCAATACCTAAAGGCAGTGGGTAATCTCATAGTTCTCTGTGGTCCGCCTGAATTCAGGAAGAGCCCCAAGCAGGTGCAAGGTACAGGGTCATCACTCAGACCAAACAGAGATCCAGGGATGAGCACTGCTCTCAGAGGACCCTGGGCCAGGAGCATAGGCACAGGGGGCACGCAACAGGAGGAGGCGAGGTGTGAGAGTAGCCGCTGTGAGTTCAGGACTCACCCTGTGCCAAGTGCCTTCCCTTGAACCTCACAACGACCTTAACGAATAGTTATTCCTGAACTTCATTTTGCAGATGAGGAATCGGGAGCTCAGAGAGGTAGGAAGCCACCCAGGATCTCACAGTGAGTAAGCAGAGACCAGACACTGGCCCGGGGCTGACTCCCAGGTTCCTACCTTTAACCCCTACACCCTCCTGCCTCTGGGTAAAGGCCCTGGGCTCTCAGTAAACGAGGTCTCAGGCCTGCAACACCACCAGCCTCCCAGGAGCAAGATGAACTCCAGGCCCCACCCACCTGGGGAGAGAGATTCTGCCTGCATTTACCTGCCTGCTGGGCATTGGATTAAGAGCTGGGTGGGGCTGAGTTCACAGGCACCTGGCCTCAGGTAATCCAGCTGAGGAGGGTTGGGGGGTGCAGGGTAAGAGCTAATAGCAAAAATAGGTAAGTAAAAAATTCAGGCCTATATTTCTTCTACTCCAAATATATAAAATAAGTGTTTGGGCAGCAAACTGAGTTGTCTACTTTCTACCCGGATCTTTTGACAGATTACAGATCATCGCATTTTTCTCCTGTTCAGGAATTTTCTGAAACGATGTTCTGATGCTTCAGGGTCCGTCGGGTGAATGAATCGGGTAAGCCCAGAGCAGAAATCACTGGTGTTTCATTCAGCACATCATCCATGTAGATTTCATGACTAGTTTCACCTGGAAGAAGCCTGCCCGTGGATGCACCTTGCAGTACCAGCCCCCAAAAATGTTTATGTCATCAGGAAGACTTGTTGTGTGCAGATCTGCAAAACAAACTGAAATGGACCTTCAGCTGGAGGACAGCGGGCAACACCAACATGGTGGATCTGAGAACGTTCTATGTCCAGAAACCAGACCTAATCTCTACTTTGGGACAGAGGGCAAGCCCCAGGCACGTCGGGGGTCTCTCCAACCCCTAGCACGTGGGAGAGGAGGACTCAGTCCCTGCTGGGGTTTTAGGAACAAGGAAAGATATTGGGTGTGGGGAAGACCAGCCACAGGGCCCCTGGAGTCAGCCGGTAGAGCAGGGAGCACGGAAAGACCCAAAGCATCACTTCCTAGGGAGCAGATGAGGGCCTAATTCCAGAGGCAAAATATGAGGTTGACGGCAGAGAACGGACAGGACTGAGTGAGCCAGGTGTGCCCAAAACCATGGCCAGAGGAGACATGGTACACAGGGATGGACATCCATAGCTGGTCCTCATAGCCCTTGGATGAGGCCCCCAGTGCGGGCGGGCATCTGTGAGAGATGC